TCATTGCTGTTGGTAGGTGCATACAAGAGCACACAGCATCACAATCCAGAAGACCATGACTGAGAGGTACATGACTTTTTAAAGGATTCATATAAATAGTGGTAGACTGATCTACAAGTGGTCACTGGGAAATAGTGTTTACATTTTGGACAGTATATAGATCTTTATCGATGATAGCTTTTATGAAGAATTTGAATCAGTATTTGATACAGAACTTTGTTTTCCCGGCCCAAAGTCGAATGATGTACATTTCTGAAATAAACAAACAGGACAATCGAGAAACAATGTGTGAAGCTGTGAACTGGATTAATACATATCATAAAATTCAAAGGAAAATTATTCGTACTCTGCCAGAATACGTTAACTTCACACTTAGTCGACAAATCTACAGTAAATGTAAGATTATTAATAATGTCGGATAACATTTTTATTCATACAGGCAATAGTTTTCCCAGTTCCTTCTAGTTTTGTTTGAGGGTATTCTAGTACAAACATCCGCCGGTCAAAGTGGCCGCGTGGCCTGAGGCGTCGGTTACGTGCGCCTGGACACTGGAACCGTGGGTTCAAATTCCACTCATGGATGTTTATCCACGTCTTTCTGTGTTATGCTGTTCTGTGAACAGGTAGAGGCCTTGCGAAGGGCCGATTACTTGTCGAAGGAGTCCTACCAAATGTCTGAATAGATCAAGAAACCTCCACATAGGAGCGAAAAGAGTATGAAGAAGAAGAAGAAAAAGTATAAAAATCTAGCCATGTTAAGTAAGTAGTGCTGGAACTGAACAGAACACGTTAGTTACCGTCCCGGCCGAGGCTGATGATATTACTTTATAAAGTAAAAATGTAAATGTGATTGCAGAAGAAGTTATAGTATAGTTTTGGTACATAAGTAAACATCATGTGTTATGGAACCATAAATAGGATAATACAATAAAGTACTGTTGAGAAATACTTTGAAAATGTGGAATTCGAATAAGAATAGCAAGTACCCTAAATATTACATCGATGTTGAATCTACGAGCGCAATACACACAGGAAATGCAATCTATGATTCAGTTCAGAATATTTAATTTCCCTGCCTGCCTTCAAAACTAAGCTAAACCCAATTCCATAAAGCAGATTCCTTCTTACGAGACTAACAATCACACAGCTGGTCAAGAAATTATTCACCATTCATGGAACATGAAGATACATCACTACGTTTACAAGTGTGTCTCGGGTCCCAAATCTGGGCCAGATCCTTTAACATGCACTTCAATATTATCCTCATATCACCGTTTAGGTATTCAAAGCAGTGTCTTCACATGTTTTCCTATCAAACCCATACATGCCACATTCCGAACAATCTCCTTATTCTTCATCCTAAATTCCTTAAAATGTAAAGAAGATTTAAAATTCATAAAACTCGCACTTTAAGGATTGAAGGTCACCTAGATAATGTTAGAAATTACGCAAAAAATAACAAAGCTCAGACCAGGACAGACTCTTTGGCACGACCATGGCAATCGAAAAAGGATATGAGATTTGGAACCTGGAATGTTAGGAGTCTCTATAAGGCTGGGGCACTGAAATCAGTGAGGGGGAATTAGAGAATTATAAGTTAGATTTAGTGGCAGGGCAGGAGGTGCGATGGAAGGGGGAGGGCGCGATCCCAGTGCACAATTTCACGTTCTTCTATGGAAAGGAGGATGACAATATTCAGTTAGGGACGGGATTTTTTTTCATAACAGAATTAGGGCAGCAGTTAAGAGAGTAGAATTTGTTAGTGACAGGGTGTCTTACGTAATTCTGGAAGGACGTTGGTGCTACATTATTGTCCTTAATGTTCATGCCCCAACTGAGGACAAAAGCGATGATATCAAGGATAGCTTTTATGAAGAACTGGAATCAGTATTTGATACATTTGGCAAGTATCACATGACAATTCTGCTAGATTTCAATACAAAAATTGGGAAGGAGGATATCTTCAAACCCACAATAGGGAGGGAGAGTCTCCATGCACTTAGTAATGATAACGGTGTTAGAGCAGTAACCTTCGCTACGTCAAAATATTCAGTTGTAAAAAGTACAAAATTTCCACACCGTAATATTCATAAATACACTTGGACTTCTCCAGATGGGAGCACAGACAATCAAACAGATCATGTTTTAGTAGATAAGAGAAGGCAGACAAATGTAACTGACGTTAGGTCACTCAGAGGAGCAGATTGTGACACTGATCATTATCTGGTGGTATCAAAAGTGAGGGAGCGTCTTTCAGTAAGTAGACGAACTAAGCAAAATTTCGACACAAAAAGATTTGATTTGAAAAATTAAGTGAGGGAGAGGCGAAGAAACAATATCAAGTTGAAATTTCGAATAGGTTTCAAATTTTAGAGACAGCTGAAGATAATGAAAATGTGGACTCAACAGGGAGTGAGAAAATGTCAGAAACTATATCAAAATTTCAGCCAAAGAGAAATTAGGATACTACAGAAGAAAAGTAAACCACGGTTTGATGAACAGTGTTAAAAATTAACAGATTGAAGGAAGCAAACAAAATTTCAATGGTTGCAGGACCCAAACAACGAATATGGATAATCTATGTAACGTGAGACGTGAGGCTAGTAGAACCTTTAGGAATAAGAAAAGGGAATACCTGAAGGGCAAAATTGCTGAACTTGAGACAAATAATAAGGAAAAAATATCAGAGACGTGTATAGAGGCATTAATAACTTTAAAAAACGATATCAACCGCAGAACAATTTGGTAAAGGATCATAATGGCAATTTGCTTCCAGATCCGATCAAAATCTTGTATAGGTGGAAATATTTCTTAAACCAGCTCTTAAATGTTCATGATACTGGTGATATTACACAGATTAAAATGCTTACAGCTGAACTGTTAGTGCCAGAACCTAGTTTAGATGAAGTTGAACTAGCCATTGGGAAGTTGAAAAGTTATAAATCTCCAGGAATTGATCAGATTCCGGCCGAATTAATTAAAGCAGGTGGCAAAGGGTTGCATATGAGGATCCATAAGCTTATTCAGTTAATTTGGGATAAGGAAGAGATGCCACAGCAATGGAAGGAATCCATAATTATTCCTATTCATAAGAAGGGGGACAAGACTGTGTGGTAACTACCCAGGAATTTCTCTGGTATCAAACTGATACAAAATTCTATCAAACATTATTTGGCAGGTTTTACCCCATATGCGAATGAAATTATTGGGGATCATCAGTGTGGGTTCAGACAAAACAGATCAACAGTTGATCAGATCTTTTGCATTCATCAGATACAAGAGATAAAATGGGAGTTCAGTGGGACCATACATCAATTATTTATAGATTTCTAAAAAGCCTATGACTCTGTGAAGAGAGAAGTGCTATATAATATTCTTATTGAATTTGGTATACCAAAGAAGCTAGTGAGTCTAATAAAAATGTGCTTAAATGAAACCTGTAGGTAAATATGTATCTGAGTCATTTTCCACCAAGAATGGTCTGAAACAAGGAGATGCCTTGTCTCCATTGCGCTTTAACTTTGCGTTAGAATATGCCATCAGGAAAGTCCAAGAAATTCAGGAGGGTTTGCAATTGATTGGGACATGTCAGCTATTGGCATATGCTGATGATATTAATTTATTGGAAGATGACATAAATATAATAATGAGGAACGCAGAAGTTTTACTAGAGGCTAGTAGACAGGTGGGGCTAGAAATAAATTCAGAAAAACTAAGTACATGTTAGTATCTTATCAGCAGACAGAATTATCTTAGTGTGGCTAATAAATTCTTTGAAAGTGTGACAAATATAAAATACTTTCGTCTGTCAATTTCTGTTGATATTTAATACTTCGTTTTCCAGTGTGTTTTTTTTTTGCTCTTCTGTTTTTGTTGATAGTTATGATGTTTTAGTTCTTTACGTCGCTGTTCAGAGGCCAACTGTTATTGATCAGTCAACTTTCTACATCCAGCCCCACCCTTGCAAATCTTCGTCTTCAAATCGATCATAAAGTCAGTTTTCGTAATCGTAATATATCGAATGAGTATTATAACTTGAATAAGTAGTATTATTAGTATCAGTTTACTTTGTTGGTGTTGGTACTTCAAATAGTTGATAACGTCTTCTTTCACTTTTCTTCAGTCAAATCTTCATTTTCAAGAATGCAATGTGCTGCTTCTGGAGCAGTGATAATGCGACTGTCTTGGTAGTTGGTGATCTCGTCGTTGAGAAGCGTAATTTGTTTATTCGGCATTGTTGTGTTGGTATACCAACACAACAATGTAACTGTAAGACACTAATGTTTCAAAAAGACCAAACGCACTAGTAGCATCCCCTTTCCCCACCATTTTTTTATTTGTAGTGTTCTGTCTGACGACAGGTCCATATATTATGAACAGGATCCTTCCAACCTCTTCAGGTTGTCAGGGACCTGCTCATACATATATACATTCTTGGCAAAGATGATCAGAAGTGGTTTGCCATTGCCTTCTTCTGTGTGTGAGTGGAGTAATTGTTGGGATGCCACGGAGAAACCGGGGAAGCCCCCGGAGGAAAACTCCGTGATGCCTAGACCACGGCCTTGCCCAACACAAGTTATAAATTTGAGCACCACCGGGAATTGAACCCGGGACCCCAGGCTTACAAGGCTAGTGTTCTGACCGCTAGACCACCGTGGCGAACCTCCCCACCATTATGACAACAAAAACAAACCTCCCAGCACCACCACGAATACTGACCATAAAGCACAAATGTAAAAAGACACTATCTGACCATATCTTATGCAGACCCTCCCAAAACCAATGCTCCTACCCCTGAAGCGGGCGCAGAAAGATGCTGACAGCCTACTTCACACGTCTGTGTTTATGTAATAAAAAAACTTGTGCACAGATAACCAGGATTTTACTGTATTCATATTTCCTTCAGCAAAACTTATCTTGGATTTCTTACATCATAATCTGATGAAAGAGTTATGACACACACACACAAACACTTATGTACATGAGAGACAGACACAATATGTTCATAAGGAATTTTTTATTTGAAGAATATGTATGCAGCACACTTAAAAATTTACATTACAAATGAGAGTATGTAAGACTCCTTCAGCATATGAAAATCTGCCAATATACGTAAAATGAATAGAAATGAATTTTGTATATTTGACATCAACATACATAAAAATTCCATATATGATTGGATCTAATTCTTATTATGCAACCACTTAACAATAAAAAAATGCTGAGAATCATATCAAATACATACATAATATAAAACAAAACAAACACTTAAAGTTTTCTAATTTTCACACCAAAAGTGATGTAAGCTTACTGCTGGCATCATAATTCCAGTCATTCATTATCTCCTTGTATTTTTCCATTCGTGGCTTTCCTTTACCTTTCGTTAATATGTCTGCCTAACATGTTATTCTGCTGCAATACCATCATGGCTACCATCAGATGTATTAAAGATGGGCAAGCGTGAAATGCAGTGTTCACTGTGATTTTGATGTCTTATCTACTGACATGGCTTAAAAAATGTATTAAAATTAATTCATATTCTTCTTCAAATTAGACAATATTGATATCTTTGATTAATATACATCAGACATAAATAATTTTAACTAATGAAAGACAGAAAAAAGCCACATACAAGGAGATTGTGAATGATTGGAATTTCAATGCCAGCTGTATGTTTAAATCACTTTAAGTGTGGGACTTAAATAACTTTAAACACTTGATTTCTGCTACATAGTGTGTATCTGATATGTGTACAAGTTACTCTAACTTTAAATGAGGTACAAGCAGAGCACTATTTCTGTTACGTTTTGATTCCAACAATTTCTTCTAACCCTTGGACTACAATTGTCATGTTTGGACGTCTCCGTTTGTTGTCTTCAATACAATTCAGAGCAAGTGAATATAGACTGTCTGCCAGACTGGATTCTTCTTCTTGTCTAATAATACAAGACCTTCCCCAATCTCCAGCCTGCTTGTCTAGTAATACATTAATACAGCCAATTTCCTCACACATGGCTTCAACATGAGTCACCTGCAGAAACCATGTAATACAGATATAGATAGAATATTCCATGTAGTGAGTATGAGTTGCAACATTATTCTGTTACATGACATACATACCAGATCATGACCCTCTCGCTCCTCATCATATGGTGGCAATCCTGTAAGAATTTCTAACAGTACCTAAAATAAAACAAAGCATAAGTTTGAGAGTACTAGCTAATTTCACGTTTTCATTTTATGTTTAATTAACATCACGTTCAGAATTCAAAGACAGAACCTAAAGAAAAAAATCATATTTTTATACATACTTAAAATTTGAATAGTCTCTCTGAATAATCCTGGGAGTACACACAATATTAATCTTTAAGCTTCTGAAGTAGTATCTGGGTGATAGGTGACAATCATGACAGATTCCATGCTGACTTACATAATACAAAATCTTAAACAACATATTCCTGTGCAATACTATTTAGATTTTAACATAATGATAATAACTACCAATAGACTTACACAAACACAAACACATATACATGTGGAAAGTGATCCATCTAACTTCATAACCTTAAATAAATCATATTTTGTTTAACATACAGAAGAATATGTTTCAAACAAACATTTATGCAGTGTCAAAGGGGCATTTGAAAGTGAAACATATTTTAAAGATGTTATTACTTGTCAGGGTTACATTGCATTTTAATGGAACCCTACAGATTTAATACACTAGAATTAGTCAAATTGGAGATGAGTTCAACAATCTACAACTAAGTATTTGCATACATTTCTCAGCATGGCGGTCATGGCCTAAGGATAATGTTTCTCTTGAAATGACCTGGAACACTGTCTTGTACAGTTTTATGTAGTATGTACAAGAGTACAGCACAGTTCATCATTGAAGATGAAATGTGCACCACCCAAGATAAAATCAACATTATATTTATTTATGGTGAATGTGAAATAAATGTACTGTGAGTGCAGTATCTGTACTATGACAGATATCCTGATCAGAACCATACTAGTGCTTGTACAAAATATTTGTTGAAAGTTCTTAGAAACAGGAACATGGAATCCAAAACTGTAACTCCAACATAGTAAACCAATAACATACAAAGCAAAAGAAATTGTTGTTCTGGTGGCTACAGTGAACAATCCACATGGTGGTACACAACAAATTTTACGTTGTTCCGGAATCAGTCAACCAAGCATTATTCAAATCCTTCATCATCATGTATTTCACCTGCACCCCTACCACTTAATCAAGAGCTACATGAAATTACTTGAACAATCATGTGTAACTTTGTCAGTTCACATTTCACTGATTGCAGAATAATGATTCTTTCCTTTCAGAATGTTCTGTTTATTGATGAAACTTCAAACACAAACCATAGGCAAGTCAATTCACGGAACATGCAATACTGGTCTTTGGAAAATCTTCATTAGCTTATTATTATTTAGTGTTCTGTCTGATGACAGGTCCATTGTTCTGCCCAAAAAAGAGTTCGCCAGTTTTCCCTATTCGCAGCTTTCCTTCGTGTAATCTTTGCTCGTTGACTCTCCTCAATACTTCTTCGTTGGTCACTCGATCCGTCCACCTGATCTTCTCTATTCTTCTCCAACACCACATTTCAAAACTCTCCAGGTATTTCTGTTCCTTCTTCCTGAGTGTCCAAGTCTCTGCTCCATACAGCGCGACACTCCATATGTAACACTTCACTAGTTTCTTCTTCATCTCCAAGCCCAACTTGCTAGTGAGAAGTATCCTCTTCTTGACGAAAGCTGCCTTGGCCATGGCTATCCTTGCTTTTACTTCCTTGGTGCATAGGGCGTCCGTCGTGACTATGCTTCCGAAGTACTTGAAATGCTCCACATTCTCCATCTGTTGGTTTCCAATTACAACGTTCAATGGTTCTGCTCTCGGTGCTATCCTCATTACCTTTGATTTTTCAATGTTGATTTCCATTCCATACTCTCTACCTGTTTCCACTAACTTGTCCATCATGTTCTGTAATTCCTCCTCTTCCTTCGCCAATACTACTAAGTCGTCTGCATATTTTACAGTCGTTATCACTCTTCCTCCAATTTTGAAGTCTCCTGTTCCCTCCAGAGCTTCATTAGCTATGCAAAATTAATCAAAAATGGCAATGGAGAATGAATTTCTGGCGCAGCATCACTGGTGATCATGTTAACTGACCATACTTTAATGAAGGCTCATTCTCAAGATCCAGATATGTCACTTTTTATCTGAGACTCTACCTCTCATCCTGGAAGGCCCACCATTGTAAACATGTCTGTCCATGTGGTTCTAACATGATGTTTGTCCCACACATAATGCATTACTCATAACAGACAAGTAGCTGATGGTAAATTTCCTGACTGGTAGATCAGACATCACGGAGTTTTCCTCCGGGGGCTTCCCGGTTTCTCCGTGGCATCCCATCAATTACTCCACTCACACACAGAAGAAGGCAATGGCAAACCACTTCTGATCATCTGCCAAGAATGTATATATGTATGAGCAGGTCCCTGACAACCTGAAGAGGATGGAAGGATCCTGTTCATATGGACCTGTCGTCAGACAGAACACTAATAATAATAATAATAGCTTACTAATAAACACACCTGAAATGACAAGGACACACAGAATTAGAAGTTATATTTCATGGCATGAATAATATAAATACAAATGGACAAATGTCTGCAGATGGAAACTGAATTACCTGACCTCATGGGAACTGTAGATGGCTGTCTTCTGGGTTGTTGCTCCATGTAGTCTGGTAGAAGTTTACCAACGTTGCAGAGGTCCTTACTGACTCCATCATCAGGACACCCATATGATGGAGGCAGCAAAGACCTCTGAAATGTCGGTAACTTCTACCAGACTACATGGCGCATCAACCCTGAAGACAGCCATCTTCAGACTAACTGCTGTGAAACCTCAAAACCTAATCTGATGGGAACTGTTCACCAAGCCATAGATTGAAACAGACAACTGTATAAGCTTCCTGGAGTGTGTAATTGTCAAAATATTGCTTTAAACTTGCTTTACAAGTCATATCTTTCCAGGATAGCCATAATTATATTAAAATTTGTGAGTGAGAAAAACAACTATACTATTTTACACTTTGGACATTCTTTGATTCAGGGCACACTGAGAAATAACAATATAATGAAAACAGCCAGATGAGATTAGTTCCATGTCACATGCTAACAACTTAATATAGTTTCTTCCTAGTGGTGGCCCGTCCATAAGAGCTGCAGAGCAGCAGCATCCCCTACAATTTTTCATAAATATAAAAATTTATTTTTTGTGTTTATATAATTTGTAACATTTTATTTCCTCTGTATCATTATTTTAATATTGCCCCTTACATTGCCATATCCACTAATCGGCTGAACTGACAGTAAGTCCGCGGGCGAGGAGTGCGAAGCAGAACAGGGCTATCATCCAGCTGCAAGGATTTCACCATGGCTAGCTGGTCAAAAGTATAAAGCGCAGCAGGCGGTGGAGTGAGGGGCAGTTCAGTGTTATAGCCTGTGTGTCTGTGCTGCAATGTTCGCAGCTCCGTTTGCTGGTCACAAGTGGACAGCACTGTGAGGTGGAATGAGGGGCACTTCAGTGGTACAGCACTTATCAGAGCTGCAGTCCCTGCAGCCGGCTTAGAGTAAACACGCTTGCCCAGTACCGAGTGTTTTAGACTCGTTTCTGTATCACAAACTGTTTTGTGGTTATTGTTAATGAGTGTTCAATAGTTCTGTGTGCTGACTATTTTTTATTCAGATAATGATAATGAGCAAAGGAAGTATATCATAGTTACAGGAAATTACTTTTTCTAAATTGTCTTTGACTGAAAAAAGTGATGTAAAAAATCATGGCCGCCCTCTTCCGGACTTACAAATAGTTAAAACATCGTCAAGCAAGTATGGGTTTTCTCCTGATGTAAATTTACTTTTCATTTATTTATAATGTTATGTGTTGAAAAACTATTCTGAGTTTTCCCACTTGCGCAGCACTACCACTGCTCAGACTCACAAGCCACCACTGTTTCTTCCATACCAGGGTAGCTGAAAAATATGTTAAAATTGTTTCACTCTTTCATTCAGACTGGAATATCATATCAGTTGACATAATTCTTACAATTATACAGTGATGTATTACAAAAGGAAAATTAATAAGATTACTGTAGTATCAACTATTCTGCGACAGATGCATGAACATAAATACACTGGAGATTTAAGTACATTAGGATATAAACTTTCTCACCTCAACACAGCACAGCAATATTATAATACTGACAACTTACCACTCCAAAGCTGAAAGTATCAAGTTTGACAGAGACATCTCCCCTGAAAGCTTCTGGTGCCATGTAAGCAGATGTACCCAGCACAGTTGTTGTTGGCACTGTCATAGAGTTACTGTGCTGTCCTAGTCTTACCAACCCAAAGTCGCCCAGCTAACGAAGAAAATTACATACTGCTTTACCAACTCCAACCATAGAACATCATAGCTTAGTGGACAGCAACCTACTTCATATTCTGAAGGTGCCAGGCATGAACTTCAATCTAGAGAACAGCTATCCTGAGAGGTTTTACAAGGTTATCCCCAATCCCTCCAGGCAAGTGCTTTGACAGCGCCTGAAATTTGGCCATTAACACTACCTACTAACCACAAGATAGCTCAATCAAGAAAGTCTGTTTCAAAGCCAAGATTCAAACTGGGACTTCCAAATATGAAGTAGTAGTGCTAACACTTTGACTACGGCATTCAGCACAATCCATTTATTAATAGTAACTGCAAAACATGGAGATATAGTTTAAGCAATTCACTTCTATAACTTAGTGCTCCAACACATTTCTGGATGTTTCATGAAGTTTTCACCTATGAAAGATGACTTTGATTATAAAACACATATTATGTCATAATGTTGAGCTTAAAAATCTGTACTCTTCCCCCAGTATTGTCAGGGTGATTAAGTCGAGAAGAATGAGATGGGTGGGGCATGTAGCGCTCATGGATGGGACAAGAGGTGTGCACCAGGTACTGGTTGGGAAACCTGAGGGGAAGAGACTGCTGGGGAGACCTAGACGTAGATGGGAGGATAATCTCAGGCGGGGTCTATGGGAGATAGGAGTCGAAGGAGACTGGATTTTGTTGGCCCAGGACAGGGTCCGGTGGGGGGCTTTGGTTAATTCGGTGATGAACCTTTGGGTTCAGTAAGCCATCTAGTTAGTTATGTCATATAACATTTGTATAAAAATGGGTAATTTCAAGAATATCTCTAGAATAACATAATAAGCTAATTAACCTCCTGTTAACACCTTGTAACTTACTTGATGTCTCTTTGATTTATGTATTGCACATACCTTGACAGCAGACAGACATTGTGTGTAAACAAAACACACTTTTTAATACCATCATAAAGAGTTAATCTGCCCATTCTTCTTCCTAGTTTCAAACATTATGACCTGCATGTGTATTTTTGAACTTAAATTATTTTTACTCAGTGCAAATGGGCAGTGACAAAACTTTCCATGAAAGATGCAGATCCTACAAACATATATTTTCTGTCAACACACCTTAGGTACAAGATGCTGATCCAGCAGAATGTTGGCACTCTTAACATCCCTATGGATTAGAGGTTTCTCATATGCTGTGTGAAGGTACAGAATCCCACGTGCTGTGCCTAGAGCTATGTTCAGACGCACGTGCCACTGCAGTGCAACTCCTTCATGCTGAATACAAACAAGTGAAACAAAAATAGGATTATTAAGTATTTACTTTTGTTTCCAGTCACTGTGGATTGATACATGAATAGATAATTTATATTTAAAATACACAGGTTTCAACAGCTGCTAAACAGAATACTAGTAACACAACACAGCAAACCAAACCTGGAAAAATGTCAAAGGTCTCAACATTGAACTTTTCAGTTGTAAGACCGTATGGTACACTTCCTATATTTGTAGTCCTTATGGACCTTCTTTCATAGTTCTCTCCACTTGCAACATTCCTGTTTTAGCACCACTAGCTTCTTGGGTTAACATTGATATTTTAGACAACATTTCAGTTGATGTTATGACCACGAAAATCTGCAGTTTCAGCTTCTAGACACCCTGACACACAATTTGGACCATTCTTCACTTCCTGAAGTTTGATTCATTCAGGATGGTTACTGTCATATGTAATTAAATAAGATATGCTACTGATAATAATTTCAGTTTTCAACATTACATAAATACATACATTAAACTGAAGATACAAAAGATGAGTAAAAAATAGAAAAATGTATAAGCATTAAAAAACTGCACAATTCATTTATCAGACAAGTGTGTTTGTGGCAACAGATGTGTAGGCCACATAGCATGACGGTAAGTGAAAAAGTGATTCAACATTTTAGCCATAAAACCTGAAGGGAAGAGACTTCTTGACAGACCTAGGCACAGATGGGAGAATAACGCTGGCAGTGATCTTACAGACATAGGATATATAAGTGTGGATGGATTCAAATAGCTCATAATAATGTCCAGTGCTGGCTCTTGTAAACACCATAATGAATCTTTTGGTTCCAGAAAAGATGGGTTATTTCTCAACCAGCTGAACAACTACCAGTTTCTCAAGAACTCTGATCTATGGAGTTACATGCAGTTGTGTGCAATAATTTAAAAACAGGACTACTTTACTGCAACCATAAAACAGGCTGTATGAACAATGTGTCCCTGATAGCTTACCTTGCATGCAAGTCTGTCCTGTAATGAGCCATTACTCATGTACTCATATATAAGACAGTATGCAGGACCATCACATGAGTAGCCAACCAGACATAATAGGTTGCTATGCCTGTATCTGTTGATAAAGAATAACCACATAGGGATGTTATTATTTAGAGATGAATGTGTCTAAGCATCACACAAACAGTAAGCTATAAAATGGGAAGAAGCATGCAAAGAAGCATACCACTGAATCATTTATACAATATACATGAACAATATTATGTAAGATACATATCATAAATCTGGGAATAATATGAAGCATTCAGATCACACAGAAATGGTCTAATGGTGACATGTTCAGAATCACTGTACTAACTGATATGTTGCAGGTCAAGACATCATCATTATACACAGAAAGACAAATACAGTATACCTTACTAATAATATAAATAAGTAATAATACAGAAGCAATCAAATACCAAAAATTTAAAATAAAACCTAAATATTTACAAAATTATGACAATCCAGATCACAGACTAAAAGTGTACACAGGCTACTTAGAAAGGAAATGGTAATCTAAGGATAATTCTATATTTACTTCAAAACATAAAATCTAAAGTATTTTAAATTCTTCCACTGCTGTTCCCCTGTCCCACTTTGGCCCTTATTTGAGTTAATTTCTTTCCCCCCTCCACATGTTGGGCTTTTATTATTACTATTTTCACTATTATTTTACAGAAAAACCTCACTAATTTGGACTAACACAGAAAAGTGGTAGTGTACATTAGTAAAACCCTGAATCTTAGAACACAATTGCATTTAAATACATTTTGAATTTGCAGTTCATAAAGACATGAAAACTGATTCACAATCAGGAACATGTTAACCCAGATGGTATTTGCATATAAATATGATAAAATAAATAGAAAATGTTCATATTCAAAACAAAATTTAGGAAAAACCTCTGTTTGAAAAAGAAATGTACATACATAAAAAAGAGACAGTCCAAATTATGAAGTCTTTACTGCCTAAGGGTTGTCCAACACCATGATGATGAAGAAAGCAAGCCCCTCTGAAACACCCTCATTTTCAAACTGAATGTTGTTCATACTTGCAGAAATTGTTAATTAATCTGAACATAAATACAGACTAACAAATCATGCATAACGTCCCTTACTGAAATGTTACTACCTTGAAAGAGCCTGTATCTCATTGCAGAACTGTTTCTCCACATTGCCAGCATCTCTGTGTAATCTTTTGACAGCCACATGTTTTTGTGATGGAAGGATCCCCAGGTATACCTAAACCAATGAAACACTTGTTCATTTAAAGCATCACAATATCTAAGAACTGGAAGTTACAAAGATTCACTCAACAGTAATCCTAAAACTTACACAATCATTACTAGGGTTCGGATGTTCATGACCTAAAAAACCAAGAAATATGCATGCAATGGAAATAACAATACGAAGCGTTTAGCTTATACGTCGCTAGTGAGACCGATACTTGAATATGGAGCTGTGTGTTGGGACCCATACAGAGAAGGGCAGGTAAGAGCCCTAAATCGGGTGCAGAAGAGAGCGGATAAATTTGCAAAGTACACGAACGAATCTGGTTGGGAAACATTGGCACAGTGTAGAATGATAGCCCTAATGTGCACCTTTTTCAAAGCATACACGGGGGGCCAGGCTTGGAAAACGATAGGGGATAGATTACTAAAGCCCTGCTACCTGGGCAGGGACGATCATAGTCGGAAAATTAGGACTAGGAAACAAAGAATAAATGTTGGTGGAATGTTTTTGTAGGGGTGGATGTCTAGTTATGTGTGTATGGTGTTCTATGGAATGTACTTGTTTATATTATACGTATTTTGTTGTAATTGTGTAGTGTAAGGACCACTGCCACCAGGTGCAAACCCAATTGCAGTAAATAAATCATAATAATAATAATAAAAATATGCCCCAAAAATTAGTAAAATATGACGAAAAGAAAGGCGAAAACTGACCTAATTTGTTATGAAAAAATATTCGCTAAAATTTATAAAAAAAGTTTTGTATTTCAATCATGTCATGTATTTACATATGCATGTACAACTATTATATTACATGATTTCCTAGCAATTTTAACCAAAACTTCAGTCGCTTTAAGTTGTAAATGCTTCGTTTTGGATCAGCATCGAATGTTGAGAATACGTGCTCTTATAAAAAGAAAATAAATTTAAAAGAAGAGCCTTTCATGCATATCAAACTCATTAATTACATATACATAAATAAACAAAATTTAAAATATTAGTACATTTCTTCATTTTTCGTTCTTGGCAGCATTACAATATATAACAATGTCAATTTTTAAGGTCTCGAATGAAAAACTTCTTCGACTGTCGCTCAGTGTGGTCTTGTAACTTGAGAAGCTCCTTTTGACATCACACGACACCGGAGCATATTTGAAGAGGGTTAAATCATTGCTGTTTAACGCTGGTTCATCTTCTCCCAGTGTAGCTTCATATCTGCTTAGGATGTCTCTTATTTTGCACACTGTCGCATAACAATCACTTCAACACAGCACTGTATTAAGTTTTGATTTCACAGCATCACCTGCATCAACTGCTTCTAGGTGAGAAATTGTAGTTGCTATGCCTCCATAGTTAAATTTTATATAAGCCAGACTTCCTGACAAACTACTGCAAAATAGTTCTTTAACAATTTTGATAGAAAATGCCTCAGTAGTGTTAAAACAGTTAACAATTTCTTCAATAACTCCGTAGTTTTCGCATTTGTACTCAGGAGCATCGAACCAGGTAACCCATCGAGTGAGTACTGGCTGAGGAGGAAGAGGCAATGAAGGTGCAAGTTGTTTGAATTTCTGCACCCTCAATGAAGCTTTGACGAACATTTTCTTAACTTTCGAGAACTTGTCGACCTCAGTATAACTATGTCTAATTTCTTCGGCAACTCTGTGCAGGGCATGAGCATGACATGTTAAATGGACCATTTTTGGATAAAGCATTTTGAGGCCCTTGGCAGCCTTTACTATTACAAAAGGGAGGATATCGTCTCGCTTAACGTCGCCTTTCCACAAGAGTTGAGTATTTATGCAATAAAGTTTTGAACTACTCATTATTCACTTTGTTCAATGGTATGATGGCAGACACCATCATTTCACACAGGTCCTTTAAAATTACGATGTTTTGTTTTGATGGTGAAGGTGTTATAGAACAGAAGTCGATGCTTGCTTTGATAACTGGTTCGTCGGCTCAAATTATTTTTATGTTTTGCCGTATCACAATGTTGTTGCACATTACATCGCTTACCAGCTGTAACTTTAACTTCACACAGTTTACAGAACAGAGTTGTTCCATCAGAACTAAAATATTCCTCGCCTAAATCTTTAAGCCTCTTAACTTCGCACTTTCAGAACACTTCACTTTCGGCATCTGAACTAACTGAAAGATTCACTTAAAATGCCTGAGAAATGTAGTTACAAGTAAAAATTTTATACCCAAAATATGAATTTTATTCTCAAAATATAACCAAAATATGCATTTTATCCTCAAAATATGACCAAAATATGCATTTAACTGCAAATATAACCAAAAACATAAAAATGACCTAAATATGCATTATATTCAAAATAAATACAGTCTAATTGTGATTAGAATAACCCAATTAGTGTTTAATTTCAGTTTAGAATGAAAATAGAAGCCTCAATAAAACATGATATGTCATGAACATCCAAACCATAATCATTAATTATGAAGATGCTTTTAAAACGAAAACCAAAAACATTCACTATTCTGTTATGAGCAGACCCACTACCACCTTATGACAGTACACATAGTACATTTATACATAAAATAAGTTAATTATTCAAACAAAATTTTTAAACCCAGCACATTTTACAAATAACATATATAAAAACATTTATCTCATTAAAATCTACAGGATTTGTTTAAATTATTTTTAGTGTAGATTATTTGAAATTATGGATTTAATACTTTGTTAAAACTGAACCAAGCAAAACAAGAAAAAACTGAATTATCAGACATTTATCGGGTTTGCTATTTTTACTAGTAGGTATGATATGAAGTATGAGGTCTGATCAAATGCACTGACAATGTGTTCATATAGCTGATAAATCATATTGCCTGGAGACACAGATGCAAATTCATTTATCTATTCTGTAATACACAAAGTATAATTAGCCAGTGTTTAAGGTCTGTGTGTTTCGCACATTTAGAGCTGCACAATAAGCCAAGCAGGAGTTTTGTACAGGTGCATCATATTTAAGTAAGAGGAATGTCCATCAGAAATAATAATGCCCTTCAAACACTTTTTCTTCTTCTTCTTCTGTTGTAATCAATCCTACGATTGGTTGGCAGCAGCTTGAGCTGCTGATACTTGGGAAATACTGAGAATCTTTAATGCGGTGGATCTTCAAACACCAAGAGATGACAAATGGCACCTAAAGTGCATGATTTACAATAAAATTACAAAACTGAATACTTGTGAAATGGCCAAAAGGCAAAAATTTTTATGGATCATGTCAGGTCATTCAACACAAGATCCGTGAAAGACAAGTGTCTCAATCAAGATTGCTCTCTTACTGCTTATACAAAAGCAAAACTGATGAAAACCATTAAAAAGATTGTAATGTGATCAAACATAAGTCTATGGCTTTGACTCCAAAACTACACAGCAGTGACAACAGAATCTCCTTCTCTGCTGCAATAAAAAGTATGCCAAGTGTGTAGCAAAACAACAGTGATGCTTATTGTTTTCATTATGAGGGTGCTGTACACCAGTGGTATTCAACCTGGGGTACACGTACCCCCGGGGGTACACGAAGACATCTTAGGGGGTACGGGAAATTTAAAATATATATTATTTTATGATAAACACTGAATAATCAGTAATGTAATTTATTTTAGATGTAGATAATATACTATGTATAACTTGAATTATACACCAACAACTTTGGGGGTACAAAGTTGAAGAGAAATTTTATCTGGGGGTACGCGAACAAAAAAAGGTTGAATACCACTGCTGTACACCATGAGTATGCTCAAGAAAGTAAGACCACCAACATTTCTATTCAGTTTTTAGATGTCCCAATTACACAGTTTCAAAAATCTGGGAATCAGATGAGTACCATGACAATGCATCTGCAGACATGGAACAGAGAGCCCATGGGGCAGAGAACTTGGAGTAGTCAGTATTGAGTGTTTGGCTACAATAATCCCAGTGCCTAGCCCTCCAGTCAGCCAAGCCTCTGGGTGGCAGTGCCATGCATGGCCAGTACTGAGTGGTAGCCAAGTGGCATCCAAGCCCAGCAAGGACAAAGCTACAGAATTTTAAATACTGAGGTAGGGGAAGGGCAGATTGGAAATGCTTCAGAGATAAAACCTGGGGGATAAAACCCCACAGCAGCAAGTGCAGGATCACCCTAGAAAATTTTTTAAGTCCATTACTACTGTACTACACCTCTTTCAGTTATGAAATCCCATGACTCACAGAACATGTCCCATTTATCATGATTGTTGTGTATCTTCCTCTCCTTATGACAATACATGGCCAGTCAGTGTAGTGGAGTAATGTCACAGGGCTTTGGTCACACCCAAGTGGCTTGTCTGGTAATTGTCCCACTGACATCAATGCATCAGTGTCAACCACTTTTACTTATCATTCCCTCTTCAGGCACACACAGCCAGTATTTTCTCACACCAGTGATCCTCTCAGAGTGCACTTTGCTCACAGCACCCTAGTCACTGCAGAAGGATACTCTCTCTCTCAGCCTGCAATCTGCACAATGGCAGTACTTATGACTTATGAGCCAGCATAGCTCAGACAGTACAGTGACTAGATATGGACTGGACAACTGGGATTCAATCCCCGACAGAGGAAGAGGACCTTTCCTCTAACCTCTGCATCCAGACCAGCTCTGGGGCCCACTCAGCCTCCTATCCAATTGGTACCGGGGTCCTTTCCCGGGGTAAAGCGTGGCCAGGGCTCGATGCTGACTACTCACCCCATCTAGTGCCAAGATCAAGAATGAGTAGGAGCTATACCACCTCTCCCCTCAAGCAACCTACATGGCATGTAGCAAAACTGATTCACTTTAATATTTACTCCATACAGCCAAGCTTTTCCTGAGAAGTCAAGAGTTGTTCAGCCACTCAAGAAATTCCTAACCTTTTATGGAAGCTGAAAGTTCATTACCATATTAACAAGAGCTCACCACTGGTTCCTATACTGTGCCAGATGAATCCAGTCCATATCACCCCATCCTATTTCTCCAAGATCAT